GGACTTCACAGTTTTAACTTCCTCATTCAGGTTCAGTGTTCAGTATTTCACAGGCAACAGGAGACAGTTCTGCAACAAGGGCAGCGAGGCAGCCCATGGAATGTGGACTGGCATCAGAGGGTGGGCTCAGATACACAGATCCTGACTCTATCCCCATCTGCCCACCACCATCTCCTTGACTAAGTTCACTTTCTCCATATCCCCTTATGCTAAGAGGAAGCTGTTGTCTGTCTGAGTCTCGTGTGAGCTGAGAGTCACAGGGAGACTGCAGGCAAAACCTCAGCCTGAGTCTGGCTAAGAAGTTGGTGGGAGCAGAGGAAGGAGGTCAAAGTGGGGAAGGGTCTCCTTGCTGTGTGCTCTGACCCAGTAAGTACAAATAAGAAAAGGGCAATGAAATGATTTTGACACTGGAATCTCTGCCATAGGGTATCTACTGAATTTTTTTTCCTTCAGAGAACCCACTTAAAGGTGAGTGAGGATCTCTTCCTATGACCCTTCTTCTCTCCTCTTTCCAGTCCCTGTTACTAATTGCTGGTCATTTCACGTTTCTGCTTAAATATCATTTTTTCTTCCCACTGTTGTCTGTCTCCTTCAGCTTTTTTTCCCTTTGGAGTTGGTGGTGGGCATATACCTTTTAGTGTTATGTGTTTTTTCTGGCTTTCTTCTAGTCCTCTTCTTTTTTAAAATTGTTTAGTTTTAATTGGAAGATAACTGTTTTGCAATATTGTATTGGTTTCTGCCATACATCAACATGAATCAGCCACAGTACCTCTGTGTACCTATGTCCACTCCCTCTTGAACCTTCTTCCCACCTCCCACCCCATCCCAGCCCTAGTTTGTCACAGAGCCCACCTGTCTTCTAGTTCTTTGCATTGGATCTATTTCTCTGTTTTTCTTCCTTTAATTTCTAATTGATCTTTTCCTTTTTTCTTTCTCTCGGTTTGGATTGGGAGCCTTAGTGTTGGGTTCCTGGGTTAAATAGTGGTTTACAGCAGGAAGACAAAGGATGAGTGGGAAGAAGCGGGGTGAAGGGGCAAAGGACAGGACTGATATGGGACTTAGTGTCAACCTGTCCTCCAACGTATATTTTAGATACAAAGTGGCTTCTTTATGCTGTCCTTTCTAGGGAAAAAAATGAAGCCATTAACTAAATAGCAGAAAGGAATGAAATTAATGAGCAGGAAATTAATAACATGGAAGATGAGGGTAGTTTCTTGAGTTGTTTGCATATTACAATCACTCATTCAACAATATTTACTGAGTATATAATACATGTCTGTTACTGCTCTAGGAGCTGGGGATTCCCTGATGAGAAAAAAATGGCATTGGGGGTTATGGGTTCTAGTTGAAAAGCAGAAGACAAATCTGTATGAATTAAATGTAGCAAGTCTGACGGTGTTGAATGCTATGAGAAGCACAAGGCAGGGAAGGAATGGGGAGGAGAGAAGGATTTCAATTGCAAATAGATCTGAGGAAGCCCTGGCTTAGAAGTTTAGTTAGTAGGTGAAGGGACAAGGTAGCGCTTATGTGCAATCACATTTCCATGAATAGGTAAGAACAAGCACTAAGGTCCCTGAGGCTGGGATGGGAGTAAACACAGGATGCTGGTGAGACCAGAGTCATGGGGATTCTGGGGACAACAGAAGAAAAGGAGGTCTGAGTGGTGATAGAAAGTCTGCTGATAAAAGCATTCCTTTATTCTTGAAAAATTTTGTCTTTTATTCTTACAGAGATGAGTTCACTTTAGTGGTTAGCTGCTCAGTCATGTCCAGCTCTTTGCGACCCCATGGCTACTCCATGGGGATTCTCCAGGCAACAATGCTGGAGTGAGTTTCCATGCCTTCCTCCAGGGGCTCTTCCCAACCCAGGTCTCCTGCCTTGCAGTGCAGTGTGCAAATAAACTAGGATGGGGGCAGGGATGGAATGGATGATGAGGCAAATTCAGTTAGAGACCATCATCAACCAGAAGAGCAGTGATGACAGTGTGGCCAGGTAGGATGGGCAAGAATGGAAAGTGGTCAGGGGTAGATACATTTTGCAGAAAGAACCACCAGAGATTTATGATGTTGCGATGTGAGAGGGAAGGAGAATTCAATATGACCCATGTGTTGTGTCCTGAGAAACTGGACAGACCTGCCCCTAATTTACATGGGGAGGTTAGACCAGGTGTTTTGTTTTTCCAGAAGAGACCAAAAACTCTATCTGATCACTTTAGGTAGGATAAGCCCATTGAATGTTCAAATGGAGATGGTGAGTATAGAGTGTTATAATAATCAGAATTCAAGGGAGCTTATATGTCATTAATCAACTCTATAGTATTGTAGTATACAGTGGTGGGTGAGGGGGAAAGTGGAGGTGTGGAGTGTATGTCGTTGAAGGTACATGTAGCCAAATGATTATATACACATTAGGTCCTTAACATAAAAGGAGGAATTTCTGGTTTGAGGTCTATAGGACCTGGTTTGTTCAGTTAATTGATTCAGTCTGGGTCTGATATGGCCAAGATGGTATTTGAAGACTATAGGAACAGGGATTTGCTCCTGTAGTAGGACCTCCTATCACACCTTTGTGCTGTTTTTGGCAAGGATACCTGGGCATGTCTTTTCTGGGCATGAATCAGAACGTGCTGTGTTCTGTAGGAATTCAGCTCACAGAGCCTACCTCCATGGTGGTGGATCTGGGCAAGGCTATCCTAGTTTTAGAAATTACTCTGTTTCTTTATACAGAGAGCATATCTGTGTGGTTGCCTTGTTTCCTCTTTGCAAGGAGGTAAGGTAGACATGAATATATCCTAAATCAATGTCTCCTGGATACCCCTGTAATCCATTTGCAGAGAAATTCTATTCTTTTGTAACTATCTCAAGATGTTTCTTACTATATCACTTATTATCCCTCAGAGGAAGAAATATAGCAATGAAGTACTATATTAAGGTCAAGAACAAGGGCTCCAGCAACTGAAGTGGGAGTCTCTCTGCTTTCAGAAAGTGGAAGTTACAGCTATGTATTACTTCACCTTGATTATTTTATTCAATCAACACATATATATTGAGGATATACTATGAACCAGGAAGCCATTAGGGGCTGAACCCATTAGAGGGTGCCAATGTCATGGTGAATGATAAATGATGCTCTTATTCAATAGGATGAGACAGACAATAAAAGTTTTAAAAGGTAATCCTGTGTGTGTTGAATGGTGTAAGTGTTGTGGACAAAACAAAAGCAAGAAAGGGCTTGAAAAATGCAAGATGCTTATAATTTTAGTGACTTTCACAGATAGTATCTCTTAAGAGGTTGGCATTTGAGTAAAAATCTCAAGCAGATGAGAGATAGAAATATGAGGAAAGAGCATTCCAAAGAGAAAAAATGCAAAGATCCGAAGGTGGGCGTGCCCAAGGAAATTCAAGGAAACACAATGAGCAAAGGGGACATTGTAGGAAACGAGGTCAGAGAGATGAGTGTGTGTGTTTGTGTGTGTATCGTGTAGGGCCTTGTGTGCCTCTGTAAGTATCTGGGCCTTATCTGGGGTAATTTGGAGCTTCCCTGGTGGCCCATATTTAATTTGAGAAGTCACTGAGATACTTTCAGCAAGAGAATTACATTATATGACTTGCATTTTAAGCAGACTCATTTGAACTGTTATGAGAACAGACTGAGGAATTAAAAATGGTCCTAAGGTATTTGAGCTCAGCAAAATAAAGAACACCTCAAGTATCCATTACTTTCCTTTATTGTAACATATATGAATTATCTCTTGGGATGAAATGGTCCAAGTGCTGCTAGAGATAGTATACTGAGTAAATTTAGTCCTGCTAAAAACAGTCAGTGCCATATGGGGAAGTCAGTATTTTGCCTACTGAAAGAGGATTGTCCAATAGTCCTGTGACAGATAAACTGACTCAGATTCTATTCTTCTTGGTATGGATACATACGAATGTAGATAAGTGGTTCAATTCTATGAGATAGCAAATATCCTCTCATCTATGTTTTGGGAAAAATGAAAGAATGTGCTGTGCTAAGTCGCTTCTGTCATGTCCAGCTCTGCAACCCTATGGACCAGCTGGCCAGGCTCCTCTGTCCATGGGATTCTCCAGGCAAGAATACTGGAGTGGGTTACCATGCCCTTCTCTAGGGGATCTGCCCAATCCAGAGATCAAACCCATGTCTCTTACATCTCTGGCATTGGCGGGCAGGTTCTTTACCACTGTGCCACCTGGAAAGCTCCTATCCTCTTATATATCCTTAAGCATGTACTGTTGTGCTCTAATGAATTATAAAAGATACAGATGACTGAAGAAGAATAATTCAGAGATAAGTAAAGATATGTCTCTCAATCTCAGAATTTCTCTGTCCATATTTTCAGGTGACTGTGAACAACTGAACCATGGGGATATGGTTGAATCAGTCATCCATAGATGGCTTCATTCTCTTGGGCATCTTTTCTCATAGCCAGGCTGATTTTGCCCTATTCTCTGTGATTATGGTGGTCTTCACAGTGGCCCTCGGTGGGAATGTCCTCCTCATCTGCCTCATCTACATGGATCCTCGACTTCATACACCCATGTACTTCTTTCTCAGCCACCTCTCCCTCATGGACCTGATGTTGGTCTGTGACATTGTGCCCAAGATGGCATTCAACTTCTTCTCTGGCAGGAAGTTCATCTCCTTTGTGGGTTGTGCCATACAAATTGGATTTTTTGTCTCTCTCGTGGGATCTGAAGGGCTCTTGCTTATGGGTCATGGCTTATGACCGCTATGTGGCCATTAGCCACCCACTTCACTATCCCATCCTCATGAGCCAGAGGGTCTGTCTCCAAATTGCTGGGAGTTCATGGACTTTTGGGATAATAGATGGAATGATTCAGATGGTGGGAGCCATAAGCTTACCCTACTGTGGCTCAAGGAATGTGGATCATTTCTTCTGTGAGGTTCCAGCTTTACTGAAACTGGCCTGTGTAGACACATCCATTTTTGATTCCCTGCTTTTTGCTTGCTGTGTCTTCATGCTGCTCCTGCCCTTCTCCATCATTGTGGCTTCCTATGCTCGAATTTTGGGGGCTGTGCTCCATATGCACTCTGCTCGTGCTCGTAAAAAGGCTCTGGCCACCTGTTCTTCCCACCTTACTGCTGTGTCCCTCTTCTATGGGGCAGCCATGTTCATCTACCTTAGGCCTAGGCGCTACCGGGCCCCAAGCCATGACAAGGTAGTGTCTCTCTTCTACACAGTCCTTACACCTATGCTCAATCCTCTCATTTATAGCTTGAGAAATCGGGAGGTGATGGGCGCCTTGAAGAAGGGGCTGGATCACTGCAGGGTTGGCAACTGGCACTGAACACCAGGGCATCTGGAGCCTGGTGCTGCCACCTCCTGTTTGCATAGTGTTGGCAAGGCATTCTCCGTTTGTGAGTGACTGCTTCCTCATCAATAAATGGGAATCATGACACTGCCCTGCCTCACAGGGATTTTGTTGGGATAACTGTATGTAAATCTAAGGCACCATGAGGAAGCAATGCATTATTATTATCATTATTAATCATTTATGAAGTCTTTGAAGGAAATTCACTCTATTTTTAATTCTTCTTGGTTATAGTTGTGTTTTATCGAGTGCTTGCTATGTCCTGGGCACAGTCTTTTTTCATTTATGTATCATCTATATTATTTAGTTGATGATTTCACCTAATAAATATAAATATTTTAAATAAAAACTTTCTAGATGGGAGAAATTGAGTCTCTATGATTCTTTGTTGGATGGCTCCTAGTCTAAGGGATGTGGGAGAAGGAGAGGTGTGGAATGGGAGTTTGGGGTTGGTAGATGAAAACTACTACGTTTAGAATGGGTAAGCAGCAAAGTCCTACTGCGTAGCACAGGGAACTATATCCAATCTCCTGGGATAAACCATAATGGAAAAGAACATTTTTTACACACCAGTCAGGATGGCTGCTATCCAAAAATCTACAAGCAATAAATGCTGGAGAGGGTGTGGAGAAAAGGGAACCCTCTTACACTGTTGGTGGGAATGCAAATTAGTACAGCCACTATGGAAAACAGTGTGGAGATTTCTTAAAAAGCTGGAAATAGAACTGCCATATGACCCAGCAATCCCACTTCTGGGCATACACACCGAGGAAACCAGATCTGAAAGAGACACGTGTACCCCAATGTTCATCGCAGCACTGTTTATAATAGCCAGGACATGGAAGCAACCTAGATGCCCATCAGCAGATGAATGGATGAGGAAGCTGTGGTACATATACACCATGGAATATTACTCAGCCATTAAAAAGAATTCACTTGAATCAGTTCTAATGAGATGGATGAAACTGGAGCCCATTATACAGAGTGAAGTAAGCCAGAAAGATAAAGACCATTACAGTATACTAACACATATATATGGAATTTAGAAAGATGGTAACGATAACTCTATGTGCAAAACAGAAAAAGAGACTCCTATGTATAGAACAGACTTGTGGACTCTGGGAGAAGGCGAGGGTGGGATGTTTCAAGAGAACAGCATTGAAACACGTATATTATCTAGGGTGAAACAGTTCACCAGCCCAGGTTGGGTGCATGAGACAAGTGCTCGGGCCTGGTGCACTGGGAAGACCCAGAGGGATTGGGTGGAGAGGGAGGTGGGAGGGGGGACCGGGATGGGGAATACATGTAAAAAAAAAAAAAATAAATAAAAAGAATATATATATATGTAAAACTGAGTCACTTTGCTGTATAGTGGAGATAAGCAAAACATTGTAAATCAATTATACTTAAATAAAAAAGAAATACAAATATATCCCTAACTGCTAATAAAGTATTTATTTCCAGTACCTGGCTCTGTGCCTCATAGGTAGTAGTTACTTAATAAACCTTATAGAATGAAGGCAAGAAGAAGACATCAAAAGGGATATATGTATGAAAACATTTTTAAAAGCACTATTCTGGTGCCAAATTTGCTGTGGCAACTGTGATTATTTCTGTACTTAAAGTTCAGCAAAAGTAAAACTATATCTGTTTTGGAAAGTGAAGATTAGAACAGAAATGCTACTGAACAACCAATGGATCAATGAACAAATCAAAAGAAGCATTAAAAATACCTTGAGACAAAAAGTAAAAGGGGACATTCAATACACTGAAATTCACGGGATGCAACAAAATGAATTCTAAGAGGAAAGTTCATAGCAATAAACACCAACATTAAAAGAAATGAGAAAAAAATCTCAGATAAACAATCACACTATACAACTCAAGGAAGGAAAAAGAACAAAGGAGCCAAAATACATTAGAGAAGAAAAGATGACAGTCAAAGCAGAAATAAACAATATAGATATAGAAAAGACCAATGACACTATGAACCAGTTTTATTTAAAAAAATGAATTAAATTGAAAAAATTTAACCCAGACTGGAATGCAAAGTCAAGTGGGCCTTAGAAAGCATCACTGCGAACAAAGCTAGTGGAGGTGATGGAATTCCAGTTGAGCTATTTCAAATCCTGAAAGGTGATGCTGTTAAATGCTGCACTCAATATGCCAGCAAATTTGGAAAACTCAGCAGTGGCCACAGGAATAGAAAAGGTCAGTTTTCATTTCAGTCCCTAAGAAAGGCAATGGAATATTACTCAGCCATAAAAAGGAACACATTTGAGTCAGTTCTGATGAGGTGAATGAACCTAGAACCTATTATACAGAGTGAAGTGAGTCAGAAAGAGAAAGATATTGTATTTGAACACATATATATGGTACTGAAGAATTTATGTACAGGGCAGCAATGGAGAAACAGATAGAAAATAGACTTATGGACATGGGGAGAGGAGAGGAGAGGGTGAGATGTAGGGAAAGAATAACATGGAAACTTACATTACCATGTGTGAAATAGATAGCCAAGGAAACTCAAACAGAGGCTCTGTACCAATCTAGAGGGGTGGGATGCGGTAGGAGATGGAAGAGAGGTTCAAAAGGGAGGGGATATGTGTATACCTATGGCCGATTCATGTTGAGGTTTGACAGAAAATAACAGAATACTGTAAAGCAGCTATCCTTCAATAAAAAAAATAAATTAAAAAATATTCTCTTTGTTCTTACCATCCAATAATTTAATTATAATGTGTCACTGTAAAGATATCTCATGTTTGTGTTTTTTGAAATTCATTGAACTTAAATGTGTTGATTCAAGTCTTTTTATCAAACTTGAACAGTTTCGATATTTTTAAAAAAATATTCTTACAGTGTCTTTCTTTCCTCTCTTTCTTGAAAAGAAAGAAATGTTTATGATGCTTTGCTTGATGACATCCCATAGTCTCTTAGATTCTTTTAATTACTCTTCTTTCTTTTTTCTTTCTACTTCTTAGACTTGCTAATCTGAATTGACCCTAATCAAGGGCTCTCATTTTTAATTTTGCTTTTTAAAGTGTGATATTGATGACTCTAGTGAGTTTTTCATTTCAGTTATGTACTTTTCAGGTTCAGAATGTTTGTTTATTTCATTTTATAATTTATATCTATTATTGATATTCTCTATTTATTCATGGATTGTTTTCCTAGTTTCTGTAGCTTTTCCCCCATAGTTTCCTTCAGCACTTGGAGAATATTTAAGTCAGTTGACTTGAAGTCTTTGTCTGGTAGGTTTAATGTCTGTGCTTTCTCAAGGATAGCTTCTTTGCATTTCTTGTCTTTATAGTTTGTGGTTTTTCACTGAAAATTGGATATTTTGAATATTATAATGTGGTAACTCTGGAAATTAGATTCTTCTTCCTCCTCAGTATTGTTTCTGCTGCTTGCTATAGGCTTTATTTGTTTAGTGAGATTTATAAACAATTTTTGTAAAGTCTGTATTTTGTCTCTATTTTGGGGCTCTAGAGGGAATGGAGGGACATTACAATAGTAATTGCATCTCTATAACAGGGAGAGGACTTTAGTTTGTCTATTCAGTTTAATTCTCAGAACAAATATTTTATAGTTAAAATTATTATTTCCATTTTACAAATGAGGAAACTGGAGTTCACATGAGTCCCTTGCCTAAAAGAAGTTTAAACAACATGGACACACAGTTCTGCCTGACTTCAAGGTAAAATGTCTGTGCTATGCTACCTTTACTTTTTGTAAATTTTTTAGTATAACAAAAGCTCAACTGGGTTAGAGATGACAGAAAAATGGGCAGGAGGAGGTCAGTCCAGGGACAGATTTCCACTTTATCACAACAGATTTTTTGTTGACTCTTTCATGTCTTGAGGACTTTGAATTGCAGCATAATTGAACTCAGAGGTTAGAAGGGTCAGTGTGATTTTGGGTGGGCATCTCTTCATTTATCCTGGGTCTCCCTGGATAAATGGTACAGTGGTAAAGAATCTGCCTGCCAATGCAGGAGAGGCAGGAGAGATAGATTGGATCTCTGGGTCGAGAAGATCTCCTGGAGTAGGAAATGGCAACCCAGTCCAGTATTCTTGCCTGAAAAATTTCACGGACAGAGGAGCCTGGGGGACTACAGCCCATGTTGTCACAAATAATCAGACATGACTGAGCACACAGTGCACACTCTTCATTTAACCTAGATAATGGGAGGAGGCAGAAGGAATCAGAGGGGCAACAGTCTGGAAGACTCTGGAAGATGTCCTGGTAGCTTCATCTCCACACATCATTTACTGGACATGCACAATGTGGACCACAATTCAGAACAAAAGCCAACGTTTCCCATTCCATTTTGGAATGGAAGGAGAGCCAGTTTCCCCCATATTGTCCCATAGAATCTCTCCCCAATTTTCTTCACATATCCCCAGGAGATATTTTGTCTTGTGGTGAGATCAGGTGATCAGATAACTTTGAAGGAGACTTCCTTCCCCAAGAGATTTAATTACAAGGGACTGGGAACAAAGATGTTGCAGAAGATGGTTCTCTAAGGATTCCTGAAAACAGAAGTAAATTTTCCTCAGTCACAGCAGAAGGGAGAACAATGGATGGCAGTGAGGGTTGGCAAGGAATAAATTCTCTTAGATAGATGTTTGACCTAGCCCAGCAAGGGGTTTCTTCCACAGGTGAGAGGCTCTATATTTTCTCCCAATCAGAAGCCCCTTTTCTTCTGGTCTGACTCACTCCCACACTGCTTTCTTTTGGGATGAGGAATGTCTGGTCTCTTTGTGTTCTAATTTTTGTTCCTGAAAGACTCTTTCTTAACCCTTACAGATTTTGCCAGGTTTTAGCATGGAACTCTCGCTTCCAGGTTTTCCTAGATTTCTAGACTCTTTCAGACTCATTTTCTTCCATTTTTAACCAGTCTTAAGTGCATTTCTTCAGAACCATGGTGAAAGGCATTTGATCTTTTCTCCTTCAGCTTGGGAAGTACCCAT